TTTATCAACCGAATATATATATATATATATATATATATTTAGATTAATCATCCTAATTTGATTAATCAACTGAATATATATATATATATATATATTGTTGGATTAATTCAAATCAATTATTACAAAAATTCATTGCAAGGATTATGATCCTTGTATTCTACTTTATTTTTTAAAATTCAATATATTAACTAACTAATTCAATTTTGTGACTCGGTCCGACCCGACAAGGTAAATTTTTTAGAAATTTCCCTGATTTTTTTAGATTCGAGTAGATAGGTCAACGGCTCGAGTATTTTTGCACACCTCTAGTATCCGCTGACCCGTCAACCCGGTTTCCCTTATTTTGTTATTACTATTTTTATTTTACATTTGATTTTTTTAATTTTAAAATTATTTTACTTTAACATTCTAAATTTATATATTTTTTAAATTATTTTACCTTAATATTTAAATTACTTTTTAAATTATTTATTTTAATATGAAATTATTTTAAATTTAGTTGTAATTTTATGATTTTATTTTTTATTTTTAATTTTTTTTAGATTATATAATATGAATTTATAAATTTTATATTTATTATGTATTATAAACTTTTAACTTTTATGTTTTTTATATGAATTTTACTAAAAAATTAATAAATTAAAAATAAAATAAATATTAATCGGGTAGTCATGACCTGAAAATATGGGTATCCAAGTTTTATGAGTACCCAATTTACGGGTCGGGTCATCGGTCAAATTTTTAACCGAAAGTCACGGTACCTTACTTTTCGAGTAACGAAAATATGGTTACTTGAATTGAAAACCTATACTTATAAAGACTCTAAATTAATTAAAAAAGTTAATTTATTAATTAGTTACATCAGAGATCTTTAAGTTATATTTTTAAATTAATATTTAATTTTTAGATATTTTAATTTCATTCTTAAACTATATACTTATTTTAAATTAATTTTTAAATTTTCTAAATTTCGATTTTAACTTAATATGATCCTTATTCTAAATAATCGTTAAAATTTTAAATGTTTTTATTTCATTTCAAACTTTTAAATGTTTTAATTTCATTCTAAATTACCTAAATGGTTAAAATAATTGTTGTTATTCTTAGAGGTATTCGATTCAAGCACCAACAACTGCAGCAATAATGATTGAACGTTCATTGTCAAATAATTAAAAATATTTAAATAAATACTATTTTTTGATCACCCTAACTTAATAAAAAAATAATAACATACTTACTTAACTCTCTTGTAATAATTGAAATCGGTTTTATAATAAATTTGGGTATAACAGAAAAAATTAGCAGTGTCAATAATCAGATGAATTTTAAAATTTGAGAAGTTAAGGTACTAAATTTTGTTAAATTTAAATAAGGAAATTAATTTTAAATGTACAAAGAGTATATGGATATTAAATTATATTTTACTTTTTATTATTTAAAAATGATTTTTAAAAAAGGCTAAATAATAGTTTATTAATTTCTACGAGGATTGAAAATTTAATGGCTAAATATAGAGTTATATCAAGCGACAATCTTAATACATTTAAAGAAAGGTATTATCAGTTTTGTTATTATTTTTTTAATAAAATCGGTAAAAAATTACCTAAAACATTATTATTTCTATCTAAAATATTAATGTTTTTAACATTTTCGGTAAAGTGTCCAATAATAACAAAATCAGGAGAAAAAAAATAATATTTTAGATAGCACTTTACATAATATGTTAACAAAATCGGTAAAACGTCCAATAATAACAAAACTAGTAGAAATAATAATGTTTTCAATAATTTTTTATTGATTTTATTAAAAAAATAATAATAAACGATAAACAATATATTAAAAATGTCACACGTCAAACTTTCTACTTACGTCCAAAGGTTTGCCTAAAAATCGACGGTGAATTTCTTGGAAATTGTGCACTGTGAAGGAAACGAATCGGCTGAGCTGCCTGCCCGACGGTGCCGCGCTGTCCCCCAACGCCGTCAGGCCTGCAAATTGGTTGGTGTTGCAGGATGTGATGAAGGAAGGGTGTACGAATGATATAATATAGCAAATTGCTAATGATTATTAAATATTTTATTCCAGGAGGAAATACAATAATAATAAGAGTTTATTGTATAATTTATCTTTAAGTTATAATTCTTATTCTAAGTTGATCCATAAACATTTGAATAATTTAATTTAATTTATAAACTATTATTTTTGCTCTAAATAATATATAAACTTTGAATATTTTAATTTCATCTCAAACAACCGGTATATACTAATTATATCTTATGTCAATAAAAGATTTGCTAAAATATAATTATATTTAAAAAATATAATTTAGTTTAAACTATGATTGAAACTAATTATATGTTTGGATGAATTTGAAAATGAAAATGAAACTTTCAAAAATTTGAGGATCAATTTAAAACGAGGATTACAAATAAAGTATTTAAAAGTTTAAGCACTAATTTAAAATTAGAGTTACAAATTAAGAATAAAATTGAATTATTTATAAATTTAAAATTAATTTAATATAAACATTTAGAATTTGAAGATATGTAGTATAATTAATTTTATAATAATAATAATAATAATAATAATAATAATAATAATAATAATAATAAAAAGAAGGAGAAGAAGAGGTGCAATACCAACCTATTCCCCAATCCATAATATTTTTTATTAATTTAGAGCAAGTACAAAGAGTATATGTTTAAATATAATTTTTAACTATTTGATATTAAATGTTTATATTTTGATATTTATAATATTCGAATATAAAACTTTAAGTAATAATAATAATTCATTTATTATTAAAGTCGTTTGATTCACACTTATAATCCCGAATGAAAAAAAAGGAAAAGTTCCTTTTTCTCTTGTCATAATTTGATTTGGTGGATTTTATCCTATTAAAAACAAAATATTAGATTTTAATTTAATTAATGATTATGTGAGTTTAAGTATATTTAAATATTTTTAATTTTTACAGTCTATAATAAAAGTTAATAATCTTTTTATGGAAAATTCTAGAATGTATGTCATTTATTGCAATTCACTACTAATTTTATAAGGTAAAATTTACAAATAGTCATTAAACTATGTCAAAATTATCCTTTTGAACATTTAACTTTTAAAGGTTACATAAAGAATATTAAATCTTAGTTTTGTCAGAAAATAGACACAAAACCATTAAGAAATATCTCAATTGACCCTTCAGTTATAACTAAAATTTAGTTTTGCTCTTAATTTTAATTGAAATAATTCTTAGTAGGTTCGTTGAATTGAAAATAAATAGATATAGACAAAATAAATATCATATTTTAATTTTATTATAATATTAAATCTGTACCATATAAACTAAAAATTATTTGATATGATATTATAAATTATGGATGTATGATTTTTAAATTACATTTAATTTGTTAAACAAAAGTTAAATGGTTAAATCACATCATTAATAAAAATGATTTATTATTTGATAATATAAATTTTCATGCGTCAAAAAATATAAATTTTTAATTTAAAATAAAAAACAATTAAATAAATAATTAGTTATAAAATAATTTTTACTTAATAAAAATTAATTTCATTATCTGATAAGTGAATTTTTTTAAAAGAAATTATAATTTTTAAAATAATTTATTTTCATATTTTTAAAAAAATTCTGAAATTCTAATTTTTAAAATTACTACTTAAAATATTGAAAAATATTAAAATGAAATTTTAGTTATAATTGAGAGGTTAAATAAGATATTTTTCATTAATTTAATATGTTATTCACCCCTTAATAACATTTAGCCATTGCTATTTTTTTTTAAACAAAGTTCAAAATTTAATGTTTATTTTGTAATTTTTAAAAATTCAAAGATAAATAAAATCAATTTAAAAAATTCTGTGACTATTTATGAATTTTACCTTTTTTATATTAGTGATGCATTTCAATGTGTGTCATTAGTGGTGCATTTCAATGAATGTCACTCATTGTAGACTCGTCTTTTTTTTATATAATTTATTTTGTAAGTTTAATCAGATTTATGACAGGGTTATAAGAATGCGATCGATCACGTTCCTAATTATTTTTTGTAAAATTATTTTATGATTTTTATTAATTATAATTAGTTTATATGCTTTTTTTTATGACCTGAAAAGATTGCGTATCAATTGAAATAATAATTGGGCCCAATCTGAAATCCTGAAGTTCGACATTAATAGTAAATAAGTTGGCCCATCATTTCAAAGCCTACAAAAAAATGAAAAACAATGAAAAGCAAAAAGCGCTGGGGCTCGAACACATGACCACAAGGTTAAAACCATGCGCTCTATCAACTGAATTAGACGGGTTTTGATTTCTAGGAATCCAGATGTTTAATAAAATAACTATTTCTGAGATTTTACTCCATAATGCAGTTTTGGGTTAGTCTGTCCTCCATCTATAGCATGATTGAACATTATCTTGCAATTTTGACGATTGAAAATGTTTTATTGTTAGACATGTTTCGTAGACATAAATTTAAATCTATTGTCCATGGTTGATGCTGAAAATACTATTTTGCTTATTAGTAGTGATGTGATGTTGATGCATTGTCTGTGGTACATGTTATCTGATGTTTTCCACTCCAGATGCATGTAGTTGCTGGAAAAGATTATGGATATTCAGAAGCTCGTGATACAGCCTTCGGAATATCCGATGTCCGAATAGCTGCATTCGGCTCTCGTGCTAATCGTGAGGAGAAAGATCTATTCTACATGCAAAGATTAGTGTAATGCCATCAGACAGACTCGTTTTCCTGGTGTTACGGTGCTGGAGGCATCTCGTAAGCTGGTTCGAAATTCCCGAATCCAAGGTAAACCTATTGAGCATACCAAACACGCTTTGAGAATTCACCCTGATGTTCGTTGGATACAAAATTCGAATGTTGATAATTACCTCCTAATGCTGCAGTTTTTCCGGATGCATTGATCACAAAAACTTAATTGCAATGATTCAAAGAAAAATCTAATATATTCTTTATATAAATGACATATAATAACAAGGACTGTCGACTTCAAGAATTCTATCTGTAAGACAGCAAAATGTTTCAAGGTAAGACTGGCAGATCGACCTTAGCAATGGAGAAGAAGCTGACACGCCCGTTTTCTATGTGACAGAACTTCAAAGGGATGGAGCCATGTTTTCTTTCGACAGCCTCGATTTCAACTCTGGATGGTGGATTGCCCCTGTATGAGAAGTCAAGTCGAGCAGAAAGTGAGGTTTCTATATAAACTATTAAACGGATAGTGAATCTTATGCACGAGAATATACATACTGCTAAACAGACAGAATACATGTTCATTTCAAGAATGCAAGACAGCCCTAAGTCCACAAATCAATCAATGCAATACATAATGTAACCATAACCGTATCCGATACTCACACCTGAGTCCAAGTAACTTAGCATAACAGTGTATTTAGCATAACAGTGTATTTATGCGTCGAACAGCAACTGTGTTCAATAATGAAGGACAATAGAATTGGCCTCATAGAGCCAGGAAAGCTAGCGTATTCTAGATAACAGTTGAAGAAAAGCTCTACATGAGCTGATTGCTCGTCTTTATCACAACAATTTTGCAGTCAAGCCAATACACCTCCGCTTTATGCGTCTCAGAATGCGACAAGTTTTATAATTCTTGTACACTTGCACCATTAGCCATTCAACATCAAAGAAAAACTATCTTCAGTTGGAAAAATCCAACGCAGAGACAGATCTTTAATAATATGAACTGAAGAAATGCAGTGAATCACCATATACATGAGTGTACATTGTACAAGAGTTTACTCTCGTAATAAGCAATATAATCTTACCTACTCATGCACAGAATAAAACTCGGATCACCCGGAGAAGACTTTCTAAACTTGCTGTTCGGAAGATAAACATGAAAAGCCGGAGTCACTTCTGTAATCCACATATTATTGAACAACTCAACGATGGAATTCTTGTTTTCTTGCTCCATTTCTAGCAGCTCATTACTCTCTTGGCTGCTCTTGAGTGAACAGGTTCCAGACTTGATCTTTTGACCCTTCACAGACCAAGGGATGCCATGGCGCCCAACTACATAACCAAGAGATTTCAGGTGCCTATATGCCTCAAAAAGCTCCCAATTGCATCCACTTTTTCCATCTGAAAGTTTCTCGTATAGTTCTTTTAGAGAAAGATACACACCATTTTGATCTAAAACATGCAAGGCCCCTATTTCAACCAAAAACCTAGAAAATTATTTCTTAAAAATTAAAATAAAGAACATGAACCTTCAATAACCAAAATTCTAAGTCAGGTTGGGTTTCACATACAGAGTTTCCTCGATGGAGCAATATGTGCTGCCATTGCAAACGGTCCCCATAGTCACCCACATCTTACCCTTCTTTTCAACAACCTCGGCCTTAGCCAAATCATCAATCCATAGAGCCTTCGAGATATCTTTCCTGAAAACAGATACTAACTTTTACTTTCTTAAAGATGTTTGCTATAAAATAAAAGCAAAATAACATGGTTTCATGCAAGGTAACAAAAACATTGCTAACAATACAAAGAATACCTAAACTGTAATGTGGATACGAACCCGGATGAGTAGCAATCCTCTTCATCATCGTCCTCGTTTCTGTCTTTAAGATAGACGTCATTGTCTGAACAACTTTCCCAATCATCATTGTCCATTGTAATTACAACAGTTGCTGCAGAAGATTAAAAAAAACAGAGATGATCCGTTTTATGAATTATCACCTGCAATGTATGGAAAGAAGATGAAAACCTATAAATGAGAGATTAAACCGCTATCAAAGCCTTTAGCGGTGGCAGACAATGCCACTACTGCTATTGAAAATCATAAAAATTAGGTTAAAATTTGGAAAATTGATTCGATTGACTTAATCAATATGATAACCTAAAACTGAATCAACCTTGCTGGAAACTGAAATAATGGCACCGGATTTTTTCGATCAGTTAACCGACTTAACCAAGAACATCATGTAAGGAAGACTGAATGTCTATCAACCAGAATGCTCAGATTCAAAGTAAAGTAACACTTTGTTTAAATTCCTTCTTAACCAAGTAAAAATAATGACTAAAGTTCTTCCTTTTTCGATTGACTTCATAAACATGATAACCTAAAACCAAATCAAACTTGCTGGAAACTGAAATAATGACACCGAATTTAGTCGATCAGTTAACTGACTTAACCGAGAACATCATGTAAGAAAGACTGAACGTTTATAAACCAGACCGTCAAATTCACAGAAAAGTAACACTTTGGTCAAAATCCTACTTAATCAATTAAAAATAATGACTAAGTTCTTCCTTTTGTTTTCTAATCTGTTGCTTTTAGTATACAACTCCTCAAAAAACCAAATTATGAAGGAAAACAAAATTGACATTTGCTAAGTGTTTCAAATGATAACCATTTGATATCAATAGAGTAACATGTGTTTCAAAGAAAGGTTGTGCTTGAATTTCAAAAAGGAACTTAGAGCGGCAGGGGAAGCGACGAGGAAGACAAGATCCGAACCGGCAAGGTCTGACCGGCGATGAGTTGTTGACGGCCAACGTTTGGTTTAGTACCAAAAATCAAGGCTGTTTAGGTTTAGGTTTAGGCCTGTAAGTGAGAGAGGCTATGAGTAAACTATAATTTTAGGGTTCTAGTTTTATAATTTTGGCATAATGAGACAATTAGTCTTAGATTATTACATTTTAATCAATTTAGTCCTATAATTTTAACTAACTTAGATTTCTAGCTTTTTAATCATTTTATTGCATTTTAAATAGAAATATTGATTAAATAGATAAATCTCTTATGACGTTGGTGTAAAATCTCTTATGTGCGTTTCATTCATGGAATGTAAAGATTATTTTTGGGAATAAATATTACACTGGGAATGTTATATTACTTTGTTTAGCTTATTTAGCAGAAATGTAAGATTATAATTTTTAGTTAGAGAATAAGATTATTTGGATATATATTTAATCAAATTATTCTTTTGATATATATATATATAACAAGCAAAACTTTAATATTAAATTATAAATAATTGAATGAAAATTTATAAATATATTTTAATTATTACACTGTCTAAATTTAAAGAAAAAAACACATTTAATATATAATTAATATAATTAGTATATCAAACTTTTAATTTTAAATAGTTTTCAAAAGTATCATATTTATTTATATAAAATATATAATATATGAAAAAATAATATTGTGATCTCAAGTAGATAAATATATTATTTTTAAAATATAAGATTTATTTTTTAATAATTCAAAATTAAATATTATTTTTAAATAATTACATTTTTTACAATAATAATATTTTCACAACATAAAATTATAAAATAATTAATATACTAAATATTAAAAATATAAGATAATTTTAACTACTCAAATTTATTAATATTTTATTAAATTAAACTATTTGTATATTATTATTATGTTTATAAATTAAACTCTTTGTATATTATTATTAATATGAAAAAAATATTATTTCAAGAACATTTGTGTCCAAAATAATGAGAATTGTTATTACTTAAGAATTTGGGACATTCACATCATTTTAACCCAAAGATACTATTATTGATAATAAATTAGATAATAATTTTTTTCGTAAACTAAACATGAGAATACAATTTTAAAAAATATTATTTTCTGCTAACTAAGCCTCTCCTTATGGGGACTAATTTACCTATAAAATAATATAAATTTTATTTAAAAAGAAGCAAAATACACCGTACATATTAAAAATACGAACATTAATTAGATAATAATAACAATTTGGACATGTGAACAATGTTTTCACCCCTCAATAAATATATATTAAAAAAAATAAGGGTTAATTTTATCCTTGTATAGATTCAATTTTTTTTATCTTCATTCCTATAATTTTTTGGGCATTTATTTAGCATTAGAAGTTGTTTAAGTCGTCATCTTAGCTCTCGAAGTCTGTTATGACGATACCATCAATTTTTATGTCATCTAATATTACTTATCTAAAGTAATGATGATGTGACATTTATTTAAAAAATAAATAATAAAATATTTTAAAAATTTTACTTAATACAACGGTTAGATTTTTTTTAAAATTTTTGATCTAATCCTTTAATCTCATTGAAATAAATAATAAATTTTGAGAAATTTTTCTCATCTTTATGTTTAATAAATATTTTAATTTAATCCCTTAATCCACATAACAGAAGACTCACAGTTCTATTAGTTAAAATAATTAACAGACTTCGAGGATTAGGTGATACCCTAAAAAACTTTGAGGACCAAATATGAAAAAAAAATTATAAGGATGAAAATGATAAATTGAATAAAAAAGTTTCCATTAAAATTTAAAAATTATATTTAAATACTTAAATGTTAATTTTTCAAGTATTTAAATATTTAATAATTTAAATATATATGTTTATAAATTTAGTATATTATTACTTTTAAATTTTCTGTGTAAATGATAAAATAACTATTTTCATATTAATAAAAAATAAAACAAATAAATTCGTTTTTATAAAATATTATTTTTAATCAATTAATTTAATTTGATAAAAGTATTAAAAATTTTAAAATTAAAATAATATTTAAAAAGATGAATATATAATTATATCAATTTATTTCATCGCAAAGACGTCCAGTCTCAATTCCGTTCCCACAGGTCTTCACCGGCCGCCGCCAAACAAGCATAAGTTAATCTCTTCCGCCGCCACTTCCTCCTCCTCCTCGTACAGTCCCAGACCGAAAATCTTCTATTGCCTTCAAGTTTCCGATAAACTAGGAAATTAAATAAGGTAATTTTTGAAACTCTAAAGTTAAATTGAAGATTGATTTCTAATTGAGTCATGCGACTTGAGTTATCTGGTATTTGCTATATCTGATTTTACGTTTTCGATCACATTGTTTGTCGCGTTGTCTCATCCGTTCTCTCTCTCTCTCTGTGTTTACTTAGTCGAGAACATGAACTTTAACAGCTATTGGTTTATCAGGAATAGCTTTTATGTTATCGCCTCTATTGATGTGAAATTTGTTCACACCGCTATTGTTTGAATCGTTATTCGTTATGTTTTTTTTCTTGTTCAGTTGTAATTTCTGATTATTTTTTCTCCGAACCCTAGGTTTTTTGACTTGTTCTCAGATGTGGGAAAACGATTTCTTAACCCCCAAAGCAATCGCGAATCGAATCAAAGCCAAAGGTCTCCAGAAGCTGCGATGGTATTGTCAAATGTGTCAAAAGCAATGCCGAGATGAAAATGGATTCAAGTGCCACTGCATGAGCGAATCTCACCAACGCCAAATGCAAATCTTCGGGCAAAACCCTGACCGGATTGTATCTGGGTATTCCGAAGAGTTTGAAAGGAACTTTCTTGACCTTATGAAAAGGAGCCACCGTTTCAGTAGCGTCTCAGCCACTGTCGTTTACAATGAGTTTATTAATGATCGACATCACGTTCATATGAACTCGACACAGTGGGCTACATTAACGGAATTGTTAAGTATTTGGGAAGGACCGGGAAATGTAAGGTTGATGAGACGCCCTAAGGTTGGTTTATTACCTATATTGATAGAGATTCAGAGACCCTTTTTAAGGAGAAAATGAAGAACAAAAGAATTAAGTTAGATATGGTAGTGGAAGAGAATCACGAGAGGGAAATTCAGAAGCAAATTGAGAAAGCTGAGCAGTTAAAAAACCCTTTGGATGCTGAGGAGAATTAAAAGAAAGCTGTAATCAAAGAGTTAAATTTAGACAGTGGAATGAAAATAGGGTTTTCTTTAGGAGGGGGAAGTGCTGCAAAAGCAGAAAAAGGTGAGAGTTCCAGTACTGCTCGGCTGGTTTTCGAAGAGGAAGAGAATGAGAAGATGAAGGTGAAGGCGAAGGCGAAGATTGAGAGGAATGAAAATAATGGGAGAAAAACTGCTCTGGAAGAGTTGATAATAGAAGAAGAGAAGCAGAAAGAGAGGAGTAATAGGAAAGACTATTGGCTCTGTGAGGGCATCATTGTGAAGGTGATGAGTAAGGCATTGGATCAGAAAGGGTACTATAAGCAGAAGGAAGTTGTGAAGAAAGTTATTGATAGGTATGTGAGTGAAATCGAAATGCTTGAGAGTTGACCAAGAAGAGCTTGAAACTGTGATTCCTCAAATTGGGGGTGTGGTAAAGATAGTAAATGGGGCGAATCGTGGGTCAACTGCAAGGTTGGTGGGAGTGGATACAGAGAAGTTTTGTTCAAAGGTGCAGATTGAGAAGGGAATCTATGATGGCAGAGTGCTCAAGGCCATCGAGTATGAAGATATTTGCAAAGTTGCTCAGTGAGTTGTGCCCAGAATTCTGGCTTGTAGTGATGGAATTTGATGTTTATTCTCTTTATCAGTTGTTCAACAGAAAGCTTTAAAACTTTGCAATGCATGGTTCTTGTTTTGTAACGCATCATTTGCTTGATAAATACTGATAATCTATATTAAAAACTTTCACCATCTTTAGTTACCTGGAAAACTATCAGAATTTGACCTCCACATTTGATTACTTCTTGTGATGCTATATGGAATTGCTTTGATCCTGGGAAACCTAATTTTGATTTTAGTTTGAGATTGAAATTTAATGCATTGGTTCACCTCACCTAAAAGTTGATATTAGCGAAGTTACGTGGATGGAAAAAGTTGAAGGCTATCGAGGACTGGGCTATATGCATAGTTTCCCAGTGGGTTTTATAGATAGAATTTTAGGTTATAATGATGGAATCTGATCTTCATTTTGTGTTAATTGTTCCTCACAGATTTCAGTAGCTTGTCCAATGCATGCTGCTTCTGTTTTATATTCATATGTTAGTTTTCTGGTTTGATAAAAAGCTCTGTTATTGAAAGAAGGATAAATGTGTTCAAAGTAAATGCATCTGTTTACTTCTTTTAATGATTCCAGTAGCTGAAGCGTATATCAAATTCTGTTGCTGATTGTTTGATGGTAATCATTTGGTTCTGTAAGTTCTTAAGCTCTACAGTTATGATGGTTCCTGGTTTGATGGCTGCTCTGATTCATTTTCTCTCCTTTTCCGGTTGTGGCTGGAAAATTAAGCCGTCCGTGTTTGAATTATTTTTTTAACATATACATTTTTCATGTTGAATCCGGAGTTTACTTATGTTGGAACTTCATGAGGTGAGAATGTAATGATCCATCTTTAATGGTCCTTCCTCTATCATGTGCAGAATTGTGTACCATATACCCTTAGCCAGTCTTTGCTTGATAGATTCTGTTTTGTGCATCATTTGAGTTGTCATGAACTGCCTTTATGCACTGACATGCTTTCTTTGTGGTTGATTCATCTGCCCTCCTACAGTCATTTGGTGTGTTGTTTTAACTGCCTAACCGTACCTAAGATCCTTGTGTTATTATCGAGTCTCTAGTTTCCTACGTTTAACTGCCTAAAACAACAATGTTCAGCTTTGCAGGGGAAGAGAGAGTGGTGCCGGTGGGATTGTAGGGTGACACCATGGCGGCAGCCGCCTCTACTTAAGAAGAGGCTGAGGATTGAGCTCTTACTTCTTACCTGCCACTCTTAGGTTAGTTGTCACTTGTCATAATACATGTATAGTTTCAGATCCAAAGCTA